CGGTCAGAGTAAAAACGGCGCATGCCTTCCCGGAGTCAGGACCCGTGGATTCTGACGTAGCCCGTGCATCTTAAAAATCCTGTAATAACGCCTAGGCATTGAAGTTGCTATGGTCATTCCGATCTGGAACCAAATGGAGAAACTACGGATTTTTTCCCTGATGACGGCCAGCTGGGATGAAGACCTTCCTGTCTGCTAGGAGCTGGGGTTCTCTCTATAGAGATACATAGATATGTTTATCAGCATGTCAATGTGTGAGTATAAAGCGCTGGTTTCTTAGACTATTAGTGGTTTGACCTTGAACCTGTGCCAGTGAAACAGCAGATTACTTTTATTTATGCATTTCATGGATTGAAGAAAAGAACATTTCTCTCTCTCTCTCTCTCTCTCTCTCTCTGCAGCCGCAGTAAGGGAGGGGAGTTGGATATACCTCGCCTAATATCTCCGGGGTTGGCACCATCATTGCTGTTTATCCCTGTGCCCCAGCAGCCCAGCCTTCTGATGGCTCCCTTAGGTGAAGTTGGAAACTATTTCGGTGTGCAGGATGCGGTACCGTTTGGGAATGTGCCCGTGCTGCCGGTGGACAGCCCCGTCTTGTTAAGTGACCACCTGGGTCAGTCCGAGGCCGGGGGACTGCCCCGGGGACCGGCGGTCACGGACTTGGATCATTTAAAGGGGATTCTCAGGCGGAGGCAGCTCTACTGCAGGACTGGATTTCACTTGGAAATCTTCCCCAACGGTACTATCCAGGGAACCAGGAAGGACCACAGCCGCTTCGGTAGGTAAAACGTTAACCCTCTAGTGTCTGTGGGTGACATGTCGGGGTTATGACTACCAAGAAGGGGGGGGGTAGGTGGCGGCAGGCTTGCGGAAGGGGTCTTTTCCTCGCCTCGGGTGGCACAAGCTGTAAAAAAAAAAAAAAGAAAAAAGCCGCCGGAATTGAGTCCTGCTGTTGGCACCGATGCAAGTCTACATCGAAAGACCTTTCTTCTTCCTTTTTTTCTTTTCTCTCTTTTTTTGTTTTAAAGGAGGGCATGATTTATAAATATAACTCAAGTCCCTCGTTCTTTTGCATCAGATACAGGGCAAGATGGGGTTTAGGAAGTTTTCTTTTGAAAGGACTGATTCCATGAGTTTAAAGCTTTAATGATTAACTGCTGAGAACTTAAAAATGCATTTTCCGGAAGGCGGTGTTTGTTACCACCTTGTGCCCCAAAAAGTTTTTGCCCCTTCGCTTTCCCTCCGACAAGAATCCTGCTTGAATTGTTAATGAAGCCTGCAGTGGATCCCCACCGTGAGGGCCTGAACCCCCTGGGGAGGTGGACCAAAGTCGCAGTTTGGACGTGGGAGGGAGCAGGATGCTCTCTGTGGGCGTCTGTCCTTTCTAGCTATCAAGTTGTTACTGCGCTCTGTAATTCTCATAGTGTGCAGCCTGCATGGGTCCCTGTGTGGCTCTCTGGTGTGAGTGTGTGTGCGCGTGCAAAAGCTGCGAGCTAATTCTAAAGGGCATTCAATTCCTAGGAGGGTACTTGTGACTCAGCATGGAGGCTGCAGACACGAGGGCTGGTGACCATACCCTTTCATGCCTGCACACACGTGCTGGCTGGGCCACCCTGAGCCCAGCAGCACGGGCTCAGCCAGCCCACACCCGGTGGGGGATTCTGTTTTTTTTTTTTTTTCTCCCCCCTCCTTCCACAAAAAAGAATAAGAAAAAAGAAATAAAAAGCGCCAGTTTGGGCAACCAGACTGTTGGAAGGAGTTAACTTCTGAACGGACCCACCTGACAACATTTAAAATGGGTCGTAAAAAACAGTCCCGCGGTGAATTTCTCCCTCCCGCTTTCATGCCAGATGTTGACCACAATCTAAACTATCTGTTTGGGTTCGCGGGGCTGTGGACGAGGCCAGAAGGCGCGGAGGAGGCAGGCCTGAGAGGGGTGGCCGAGCATTTCCTCCCTTTGCCCCCCACCGAGCCTCAGCCCCCAAATTGAGCCCACTGTGCAAATATTCCTGCCTAGCTAAAAATAAATAAATAAACCGGTGGCTCTCGGCTTTGCAATGATTCGAGTGAAGCACACCTCTCACCGCCAACCCCCCCACCCCCCACCTCTCCAAAGTGGTTGCTGCACAGCGAAGACTAAACTTTACTATCGGTGCTGCCATGGGGCGGCTTCGGGGCTGCCACCGCGCCCAGCGTTCGCACCCGGACGCGGGTGGTGGGCGCCGTGGGTGGGACC